CAAGCAAGCAAGCAAGCAAGCAAGCAAGCAAGCAAGCAAGCAAGCAAGCAAGCAATGATATTTGAAGATGGTTATCATATGCAAAAGTACTTTTTTCTAACCTATTACAGTTCTCTTCGTCGTTCCCGCCTTGTCCTTCCTTGTAAAAAATATGATTGCATCCATGGCAACGAAGCACGACGCCAACAACACTACCAGAAGAATGGTTTTAGAAGTCATGACTGATAATCTGAGGATAGACCGTACGGTTAGTTTTTAAGGTTTTTTTCTACTTTACTTAATGCTATAAATAGTGGCCCTTCATGGAAAAGGGAATCAAGGTCGTCAGAGGTTGTTTCAGGGTTCGATCCGAGAGTTAGCCATACTCAGATCAAAAAAAGAGGTTGTTTCAGGGTTCGATCTGTGTGAGTAAGACATGCCCTGACTTTGATCAGCCCAAAGGTTGTCGAAAGATGTTGAAAGGTGAACTTCCTTTGGAATGTTTTAAAATTTCCTCCCTAAATAAAAGCTTTCACGAAACTAAGCACGGACAATGACTGGGGCTAGAGAAAAGGGTGAACCAGCCCCAGTCCATATCGTTTCTTTTCCTTCCTCATCCTAAATTCATTCACACCTTTAGGAGAGCCGGGTATTCAAATATTCTAGTGTAGAGGCAGTGTTGACAGTCCTATATCGACCTACTGTTCCTTTATATTTGTCTTTATACGTCTTAATACAGGAATATTTTTGACGAGGTTGAGAGACCGTTGGGTTCTTTTAAGTATATTGTCTCAAGGTTGTGTCAAATTCCAAACCTTAGTTTTAAAAATTTAAAAAAATGCTTGAATACTTGTGAAAGAACCAAAAAAAATATGAGAAAATAAAAAAAAGATTATCTAAATCATTTTGAAGAACAGGCTTTACTTTAAGTAGTAAGTCTGCTATAACCTTCGTTTTGTATTTCAAATTGAGTAAAAATTTAAAAAAACCCAAAAAACTAAAAAGCCCTAAAATGTAAAACCGCCAAAGGAATATCAACTGCGAAGTGCAATGCTCTTTCGAAAATACTTGTTTCAATATTGAAAAGAATATACTTTTCCAAGTGGTCATATCTGATGATAGTGGTTATAGTGTTTAGCAGGCACTACAATATCATTTAGAGGGGTTGTGGATGGGGGTACCCTCAGTTAACTAATAATTTTTAGGCCAAAATGTCAGTTAACTGTTAATACATGCGCCGACCATGCGTTGCCCAAAATAATGAAATATCAGTTAGTTGTTAATTAACTACTAGTTTTAGGTTATTTTCCAGTTAACTACTAAATTTTAGAACAATTCTCTACTTTCACATCCCCATAATGGCTTGCGTCTTTGGGGGGTGACAAATTAAAAAACTGTCCCAAATTGAAAGGTTTCTTAATTGAATTTATACTATACCTGCTTTTATTTGTACAATACTGATTATCAGTTTATTCCAAGTTATTTTTGCGTGTACAGATCATCAAGAGTTTTGGTCTTACAGAAAATGTATGGACTTACGAAAAAGTGTTTAAAATTTACCTTAAACGTCTTCAAGCTTCCATCTTTTTCTGTTTTTTTACTTCTTCATTTTATCTTTAGATACCAAACAAGGTATTTTCAACATTGTCTGATCAGCCTTCAGCAAAATAAGTGGGTTTTTACCCTCTGGTTACCTCCCAAAGACGCAAAGTAATATGGGGATGTGAAAGTAGAGAATTGTCAGTTAACTCTTAAATCCCATACACACCTTCTTTAAAGAAAAGAATGAAATAACGACTCACCATATTCACTTACCAAAATAAGGACGTAAACTACACTTCTACGATTCCAAACCTGTCGAGCTTGTAGCGCAGTGGCTTTGAACCTGTTAAAGACCTTGAACAGGTTTATATTGCTTTCCTTGCGTGCCCTTCAGCTTTTTTGCTGATTAATCCAGAGATGAGTAGTTGTCAGGATGTATTTTTGATATATCCTGTTAAGCGCCCTGTAGGCTGTTTACTCTTTGTCTAATCGTTGATGTTTGACTTCTACCAAGGTGAATGTTTTGTGCTTTAATCTTATAATCTATAAACATGCTCACCGAACAATTAGACGAGGAACTGAATCTTTGCCAAAGGCAATATTAAGAACTGAAGTATGACCGTTCTTCGGTAATTTCCTGAGACGATTGGTAATCTTAATTGCATGAGTTTGAGTAAAATTAAGGTTTACATATGTTTTTGCCCGAGCAACGAAAGTACTTTAAAAACATAAATTGATAACATTTAGTATTACCAGAACACGTTAAAACGAAATGAGCTAAGTTTTATTGTCACGCATTGGTTATAAGTGGCTACAATTCAAAATAAGTCATTTAACAAGCAAACTAACCTCTTTAAATATTACCCTGTAATGGTACTTGATTGAAAGCGGCAAAGGAGTGAAACTTCATGTTGGCGGAAGAATGCGAAGTTCTAAGTCCCCTCAGCCCCCTCAGTCCCCGGGATGTTTAACAAAATATTTCATGTCATTTAATGCGTGGCTTATGCTGCAATCTTTACATTTTTTTYCCGTTAATGAATTTGAGTTCCTTCCTCTGTGAGAACCGTTAATATTAATTAAAAAAAGAGAGGGAGAGAATTATTACCTGTCAAAGTATTTTTATGAATTCTGAGAGTATGATTAAAAATACCGCAGAACCTCCATTAAGCGACCGCCCTCTATTGAGCGACCAGGACCCGGTTGCACGAAGAGTGAATAGAGCGCTATCCGTTGGAAAAATCTTTATCCATCCAACGGATAGCGCTATTCACTCTTTGTGGCTAAAGGCTCGTCCAATTTTGAAAACTTTCAAAACATCACTCGTACCTATAAATTCCGAATTGTACTCGAGATCGTGCTATACAAATTGTACGGATTAATTCAAAGTTTTGTAGGTCTACGGTCTACTGAACATACTAATTTGTGCAATTTCTCACGAATTTCTCACTCCATCTATATTTAGCAGCCAACCTCTTTTTACCCGGCGGCCAGATGTGGTTGGTTGTCAAATTCCAAAAAGGGGTTTTTGCAGTAATTTATACCTCTATTGGAGTGTATCACCATGTCTTCCCAATTCACAATAAATCTTTTTCTCAAGGTTGCGCGCTCTCATCCAAATTCAAGAAACTTGATGGGCGATGACACCAGAACAGCAGCTTCATAATGAGAATATATTTCTATAAGTTTTTTCGATAAGAATTCATAACATCGATTATTCTCCTTTTTACATATAAAACTGGCTTCTCAATTGTATTGAATTTGCGATTTTTAGTTTTGTGGCCCGTCAAGATTAGATGCGCACGCAACCTTGAAAAAACGGTCGATTCAAATATTAACAGGGTTGCCGACTTGAAAGAATCCCAGGACTGCGGTTATTTATCCAGACAAGGAAATCTAATCACGTTCGTCCATAATCCTCTCAAAACGTCACTTCACCGGGCTTTTGAATCTGCCCTGAACAAATAAATAATTCAACTATCGGATATACAATAAAAGAGGATTTTCTCTTTATTACGTCCTCCCATTTTCAATACAATCTTGAATGGCTATTTGTCACTCATTTAATTAAAACTCCATAAGTTAAACACTGATGTACCTTACAATTCATATCATATTTTACAACAGCGCACTGAAAATCGGTACATTTGCTTCTTAATTACAAAAGACTAAACGTCGAAATGGATTTTTACAATTTAGAAACATTTTGAATTTTTTAAAAAAGCAAGCTTCTATCGTTGTTCCTCGGAAAGATTTCGGCTCTGCTTCGCTATTAGTCGTCGGGAAGTCCTCGCTGGCTGAGAGACAGTGTCACGTTACGAAGCACCTGCTGCGCATGCGGGAATTCCTGGTTGAGTTTATCGACAATAGTCATAAGTGATTGTAGTCGGTCTCTTTGTTTCTGCATCTCGGCTTCAAGAGACTCGGGTGTTTTACATAAGGGAGTGTAGCGTCCCTCTTTGAGTTTTGTGTAGTATTTAGCTTTCTGTTGCTTAGCAACGATTTCTGACAAATTCTGAAACGACATCAAGCAAATAATGAGACAAAATCCGGGGGATTCTTAATGATAACAAAGTAAATACAACTTGCTTACCCGTTGTCTATCTTCAGTCATTTTATCAATTTCAGTTTCAAGCTCGTCCGCACGACTTTGTAACTGTTGACAGGTGACCTGTTTTTCCTCCAGATCCCGACTAACCTGCATTTGTTTCTCGCGGAATGATTGTATCTCTGAGTGAAAGAAAGGATTGTATTTTGATTAACATTTTAAGAGACCCATGGCTTGACAACATTTAGAGAGAGCCAAGCCTTGAAATAAAAACCGCAACTCGCAATATGCGAGCACAAACTCACTGTTACCAGCCATGAAGAACGTAACCTTTTTGTGAGTTCTCTAACGTATTTTTTTTAAATTGCCAAAGTCTATTTCTTACTTTGTAAGTGAAAAAAAAAGTGGCAAAAATTTGCTCTTAAAATGAATTATGAATTACAATGAAAGGTCGGCAATGCTTCTTTCTGTATTTGTCCAGAGTTTTCCTCTCTGACGGAAAAGGGAAGTAAATGTTGAGAAAAGATGAGCAGGGTTTGTTATGTACAGTCAAACTGACTCAGCTTGATTGGTGTGTAGGCATACTAAATACCAGCGTGTTCAGCTGTCACCTTCAGTAACAGCAACCTGACAATGTCACTACTGACAAAACTACTGTCACTACCCCGGCTTTTGTACGGGTTTCCCAGCTGGTTTATGTATAGTACTTGTCAGTTAAAATGGAATGGAATATATTTCTCTTCGATGATCGAATTAGAATTTGTTGATTTTTGCAGAGGATGGAAAGCCAGGGAACCTGCAGAAAAACCCTCCGGTTTTTCTTTCATATCTTAAAGACGCAGGGCAGTGTGTTGAGTTTCTCTGTACACTCACGTATGCTTTGCAGCAAACTGAACAACAACGACAACACCGTGGGAGAACACTGTCCAGAATTATACACTCAAGCAGGACATTATGCACAGAAAAACAACAAAGATCCTCTCCAGCATCTTACCGACATCACATGCATTAGCATCGTTATTTGTCTGCCTGATTTTCTTCTTCATTTCGATCAGTTTTTTCTGTAAGGATCCCTTAGTGTTGGCTACTTTACCCATCTTGCTCTGCGCATCACCCCTGGAATATGATACACAGTTCATTACAGCCATTCTCAATCACACGCGCCGCTCTAGCGGTTGTTTCTTTCGCGACGAAGTAGCCTTTGAAGGACGTCAATCAAGGCGTTTCCATGACATCCTATAGGCACGTGCCCTTATAGCTTCGTGTTTTCCGACAATGTTATGGAAATCCCTTGTGATTGACGTCCACCAAAACCTTCTTCGTCGCGAAAGAAAAAATCGCTAGAGGGCGCGTGTGATTGAGAATGGCTGTAAGTACTTAATACAAGCTCTGATATAATTGTTCTTAGTTGACAGAAGGATATCGAGCAGGAGTAGAGAAGGGATAAGGTCAAAATAATTGTCATTCGTATATGCGACCCTACTTAGAGGGGACGGGAGGGGTTATTTGGTAACAACCACCTCTTAAAATGAATCCTGGATTTTGTCTTCAAATTTTCAAAAATGTCCAAAAGTAAAAGTCAAATTGCAAACAATGAATGTACTGTCTGTTTGCGTGTATGCTAAACAATACATTTTTGYATAGTAATAGTTTCTATGGACGACTAGTATGCAGTATTAAGAACAGTGGGGGGTACCCACCACCTAAATCGAAAACTTCTGGTCTTTATGTTGGATTACTATTTGACCTTGTCCCTAATATTTGAATATTCTGTACTTTTTAGCGTACGAGTTGTAATAGTGCAGTTTTCGTATGACTGTGAAAAGCTCAGTGCCGTAAGCGTGACGTGCCGTGACCGTGATACTTTATAGAATTTTAATTGGCTGATTTTTTTTCTCGCGCAATATGATTGGTCTAAAAGCACCGTGACCTTGGCGTGACCGTGTCCGCGCCGTGTTTATGCCGTGTTCCGGGTATTTGATTGGATAGAGAGTAAATTCTCGTGCAATGTGATTGGTCTGGCGTAACTTTTGCCGTGTCATGGCCGTGTTCGTACCGTGAATTTTTCACAGTCATACGAAAACTGCTCTACTGTATTACATTACCTAGTTACAATCGTTTCTCTTCGAACCACTGCTTTTTCCATGTCTTGGATCATTTTCTCTTGTTGCCTCATCAGTTGTGAATAGCGGACCTATAATACACAGGATGGTACTTTATTAAACTATATCAAGATCTTACCATATAGCATGCACGCGCTTACTATTATGGTAAAGCTGATGTAAGCGATGCCCTTTCACAACCCGCGAAATTATTGCACAGTATCTAATGGCAGCGATAACTTGGTGCATGGTTTTAAAACGACAACTCTGTAATTTCAGTTCAAGGATAGCTACAAACTATCCCAATATAGTGTGTGCAACCATGTGAAACAGTGGAACAACCGCCATGTTGGTCGACCTAACGAGAGAAGCGAATAAGGAATGCTTTGTTATCGTCAACCAACATGGCGGCTATGGCGTAACACGCGCATGCTCTATTCCGAGATTCGCTTGTTTTCAAGTGAGGCTTCGAGTGAGAAAATAATAAAATTTGATTTAGTACGAAGCCTCGTACTGAAATCTTGAAAGCATATCTCGGAAGTGAGTTATTCTCTGGAAGGTCTATAGTATGTTGCTGGTTGTAATCTTTCGTACCTCCATACGATGAATCTCAGCTTTCATAGCATGGATTTCACCATGACCATAGTCTGTATCGACTGCATTCTTCGCTTCACGAGCCAGCTGTGTTTTCTTCTCCCATAACATAATCTGACGTCTAGACAACAAAGATACGACCTTTAGTAACATAACAAATGATCAAAATCTTGGACGAAAATGAATAACTTACTCTGCTTCAACTAAGCTATTCAGCAGGCGTTCCTTCTCTTCCGTCAAAGCCTCGATTTGGTCTTGCATTTTCAGTGATTCACGCTCGGCTTCCTGTGAAATTAATGGGGACGTTTTTTAAAAAACTTGAGAATGGATAGAAAAACTACTCGTGGGGACATTCTCAGGTTGAGTTTGGAGGGACTATGGCCTTCTATGGAGCTGTCCTTATTGGGTTTGTCCGGCTGTAGTCTGTCTGCCACCTAGTAGGCTAGGAGGGACTAGAAAAAGGTATATTATTAAGATTAACGTCGGCATTCTCTTAGGTAGACCTAACAGACGTCGAGACGAAGTGGAGAGACTATTCATAACGGCGGCCTCTCACTAGTACGCATGTATGAGAAGTCACTGAAGTAGCAGGATCACTTCGGTTCAAACCTACAAAGGTCAAACGTTGATCAAATGCACTTCTAATATTATAATTCTGTCTATCTGTACTCCCCCTGACATGCTTTGGTTCTTTGGAGATCATTGTCCTTACAGGAGTGAGTATGAGATCTGGGAGCCCTGTGGTTTGTTTAAAATATTAGGCTCTGCAATCTTACCCGTAAGGACTGTATAAAGTCACTCTCCGTCAGAGTGTTCTCCTGTGCGAGGTTCATTTTATATCCATGTTCTTTTGTTATCAGGGTGTTTAGTTTAATCATATCGTTCTGCATGTTACGGACGTTGCGATTGATGTCTGCGATCTCGTGTTCGTGGGAATCGATTTCACCTGTCAATAAAAAGAAATTTGTGATCTATAGAGTTTTTAAGTCGTGACGTATTTACCTGTCCAACTGCTCACAAAACGCGCTAAAATAAAGCGAAAAATGTTCTCAATAATATAGACTCTGCGATTTTCCTCCCTACAAGTAAATCAACGTACGAGTTGAGTGATTTGTGTTATGAGTAGTGAATGTAGTGAATCTCACTGAAGGGACCCTTAAATGGAGTTTTGGTTGTAAATAAACGTTTTAGACCGTTTAGTTTTAATACATATAATAAACCGAGGCAAAAGTGAGTTTACTTTTTTTCTGATTTCTTAAAATTCAGTTTGACTTTGAGATCACAAAAAAAGCTGAATGAAAAAAGACAAAAACAGCTAGCTTGTTTTCTGTCATTCTATTAAATAAATATGGACTTCATGTGATGCCTGCCAAGTGTTGTCAGAAAGAAAACAAAAAGTACTCTAGGGAATGACATGTGTTTCACTCATATGAGTACAAATGCCTTGCAAGCGCCATCGGTAAGTAAAGAAATACATGTGGTTTGATATATATACCTTCAATTCTCATTTTCTTTTGTTGCAGTATAGTGTACTGTTTCTTGACGTACTCCATATCCTGATTCTGTTGTTGTACATCTTTGATAGTCTTGACTAGCTCGCTTTGTCCTCTCAGCCAGAACTGCTGGAGTTGGATGATATCGTTCATGCGAGCTTCGATCTGTTTCTGGAGGGTATGAATCTGTAGCTCCATAGGACCAGTCTCTTCTCCCTAAGAAGGACGATTAAACATGACTGTTTTTCATCTCATACACTTTCCAATTTTCGGCCTAAATACTTTTGTATGAGTGGAAAATAATGGATAAAATGCCGTAACATTGAAATGGGTTCCCATTGTTTTAGCGTGAATCATCCAATCACAACACTCAGATACGGCTACGGTTATTTATCTTACAGCTAAGAATAGAGAGGTGTTGTGGGAAACACACGGTACTGACTTACAGCACGTACACGGTACGACATGCCGTAACATTGAAATGGGTTCCCATTGTTTTAGTGTGAATCATCCAATCATAACACTTATATGCGGTTTTCGTATGAATGAGTGGGAAAACAAGGTGCTGACTAACAACAACACCTACACGGTACGACATTTGCTTCTTGTCGTCTTTCATTAATTCATCCAATCAGAATCGTTTCCCACTCATACGACAACCGCTCTAATTTGCCGCACCCTCTCATACAAATCTGTTCCAAATAGTTTAGAAAATATAGTTCAGCAAAAATCGTTTCTGTAAAATAATAGCTAACCGTATGCTTACGTACCCCAGAATTGCTTTTAATCTGTTCAACTTTCTTATTCAGTTGATCAATACTGCCTTGTTTTCTCTCAATGACTGCATTTCTCTTGATTATTTCTCCTTCTATCTTAGATATGTCTTCGTTCTTCTTGTGTATTTCATCGTTCAGTTGGTCCATGATAGATTGTAGTTGTTTAACTCGGGTTGAGGTGTTGGAGATCTCAAGGACATCTCTGGCGATCTCGTTTTCAACTTCAGCAACCTGGTTTTCCTAATGGTGAGATGATTAAATAAATGAATGAAATAAGTAAGAAAGAAAAAATGAAAATAATGAAAAAAAGGAAGGAAGAAAGAAAGCATGAAAAAAATGATTAAAAAAAAAAAAAAAAAAGAGGGAAGGAAAGAAAGAAATTCAAACACATAAGTCATTAGTGTACGTACTAGCAAAAGTATACAGGAGCCGTAAGTATAATGATACATTTGATTGACGGTAACCTATCGCGACTTTCTCTCGTCCGCATGCAACAAAAGCAGTGGCAAGTACAAGGTGATCACTACATTACACATTACAGTGATCTAACAAGCCATACTACATACCAGTTCTGTAGCTCTCCTCCTCATCTTGTCTGTCATCTTCTTGGTATACTGAGTTGCTTTATCCATGGTTAATTGGGATCTCAATTTTTCCATGATTGCATCTTCAAGTCCAACTTTCTCCAAAAATTCACGTTCTATCTGTTTTCTTAATGCTGTGAGTTCATTTTCTTTAAGAACCACTTCCTAGAAAAAAATTTGGAAATAACTTCAATTTTAGAAAAATACCATTACAGAAGACGTACTATTAATAAGGAAGGGTGGAGTTTTTGTGTCATTTACAGTGAGGAACCGTGAAAACTTTAAGTTTTTTTGTCAATTTTTAAAAATGCACACTGTAAATCCTCCCTTGACCCAATCAATTAGCCTGCGTCACATCCGGAATTTTACGAAGAAAATTCCGGATGTGACGCAGGCTACCAATCAATTGGAAATAAGAGTTATTTCGATCCTTTGGTGTATTTGATCTCAATGCTTCATTTTAGAGGATTTGAAAGAGTAGAAAGTTTATAATAACCTGCAAAAAAATTAACTAAAAGTGTTTACGGTTCGAGTATCCTACGTACTCAATTACCTTCACTGGAAACTTTCAAAAAACTATTTGACTGCAGATCTTGTGGTGCAGCAAGGTACTAAAGATTTGGTGGTACAGCAAGTAGTAGGATACATGGATAAAATTATAAGAGAGACTGACATTCTTATGTACTTACTGTCTGAGCTCGATTCAGTTGTTGTTCAGTTTGATGTAAAGTCCTTGTATATGTACTATACTCTGTCTTGAGAGCTTCTAGTTTGGTCTTACTGATAGACATGAGTTTCTTGACCATCGAGATGTCTTGTTCGATCTTGATCTGTGTCATGGTGATCTGTTCGTTCTGTTCCTGGGCCTTACTGATTGACTTTTTGTATCCTTCAATCTCTGTTTCAATGGCTAGGATTCTTTGTCTTTGAAGACTGAAAAACATTACAATACACATGAAAATTAATAAAATACCTGGGTTTTTTTTCATGATTGAAACCTGGAGAAACCCATTGTGAAGGTAATGGATACCATTTACCATGATAAATCAATACATTATAATTATGCAATATAAATATTAACATGGCCATATATTTGGGATGCACAATATCCAGCGACCAGTACTACAGTCTCCAGTGCTAGTATGTCAACAGAATTGTAGAATTGTTCAGTGCAATTTTCCAGTGTGTGTTGACCTGACTGTTCTTGACTTACTTTAATGCTTCTTGCATGGCAGAGTAAGCCTCATCACGTCTTTTCATACCAATCAAACTGCTATTCCACTGTTGAAGCAGTTGTTTTTGTTCCAGGTGAAGAGCCTGATGTAAAACAGGTGTGACAAAAATTAAATCCAGGTAATGAATATTTACTGGAGCAACTCCCCTCTATCACCCACATGTGTCTAAATAGACCCTTTATGATATAGTGGACATAGTGCATTGTAGTCTAGCTTGGGTACAAACATCTTTTGTTCACCATGTCTTATATGGTGTTGTTTTTACCCAAGCTATACCACATCTATGGGTATCAGCATATAATTTCAGGCAAATTTTTTAAGTTAACCTCTGACAAATTATGAACCCAACCAGGGACATTGGTTAAACTCCTTGTTGCTATGGTAACCCAAAACAAGTGGGTTTTTTTGATGAGCACCTTTTTGCTCTTTTCACTTTATTATGATGCTACCCAGGGGAAGTGGTAATACTGTTAGTTGCTATGGTAACCAAAAACAAGTTCTGTACTGACAAGCACCTTTTGGCTTTTCCTTTTTGATTACTACTTTTGCTACTACCTCACTACAATAATTTTTTTTTTGCTGTAAATACTGAAACCATCATCCATTGGTATTGGTATTCATACCTCTATTTCTGTGAGAGCCTCAGAGAGATTTTTCTGAGCAGCCTTAGTTTCTTCAGACTGTGCAACACACTGTGCTTCGTACATGTTGATTTCCTCCCGCAGGTGGTCCACTCTTTGAGTTAACATGTCCACTAGTAAATCTTGCTTCTTTTTATCACTTTCTGCTTTAGCCACTTCAACATCAGCTTTCTCAGCAGCTCTTCTCATAACAGCAATGTCAGATCGGACATCTTCCTTAGCTTCTTCCATGTAGTGTAATCTTGCTGTGATGTTTTCTACTTCTGTTCTTAACTCAATTGCTAAACTCAAAATTAATTTTTGTCATTTATAAAATAGCTTAAATGTAATAAGTTATGAATATGATTAAAATAATGCAAAAAAGTGAACTTTGAGTTGTGCCAGTGAGTCATGATGATGACAGTGATGGTGAAGATGATGATGTTTTGGACTATAGTCCTTTATTGGTCCCTCTTAGCTCCAACAAAGAAATACATGTCCTAAAATTTATTTTACTACATAGAGTCTAATAGATTATTACATCATCCATCAATAAAATAACTCACCTTTCTTCCTGTTGTGATTCATTTCATCTATGATCTGTTTATGCATATCTTTCACCTCTTTAAGGCTCATTTCACATTGGTTGCGCCTCTGGTTTATGTCATTAAAAATATCATGTTCTTTCTCTAGTAACATCTGTTGTCTGGCTAGTTCCTGTTGTGCACCATACAGCTGTACTCCTAGTTCTTCTCTTTCTTTCTTCTTATTCTTTACAGCTTCCAACTAGAATTAGAATTTGGTAAAGGATTTAACAAGGTAAGGAGATTAGGGACTGTTTTTTTTTTTATTGTGAAGAGCCAAGGGAAGGGAAGTGAGATTTGCATCCTAACCCATACCAAAAATCTGTGACTTAAGTTTTTTGTGCCCCCCCCCCCCCCCCCCCCCCCCNTTTGCATCCTAACCCATACCAAAAATCTGTGACTTATTTTTTTTGTCCCCCCCCCCCCCCCCATCTTTACCAAAAGTAACAAAGTTTCTCTTTTTCCGTACAAATAGCTTGGAGTTATGATATACTCTCCTGTTTTAAATATATACCTACCAATTCTCTCTCTTCAAGAGTTAGCTTCTCCTCTTGCTTGATCAAATGTGCTTTATAAGCTTGTTGAAATCTGATCATCAAAGGCTATGAATGAAAATATTCCAATGATTATGCTCATATTTTTAGGATATCCGTAAACATATTTATAATGAATATAAACAAGAGGAAAGAGCTTAGATGTTATAAATAGAAGTAGCAGTATTTGAGGAGAAGATGATGACATCTTACATGGTCTGGATCAAGGACAACCATCTCGCTTTCTCCTTCAGACTCGTCTTCACTCAATTCTTCGTCGTCGCCATCTTGATCCACGTCTTCATCCTCCCCAACATTACCATCCTCCACATCATCAAGGCCAGTATTAAAGTCTGCATTTCCTGCCAATATGGTTTGTCCTAAACCCTCAGGTAAATCCAGACTTGGTATATCGATGTCAAAGTTGGCAGTTGGAACAATCCCTTCACTTTCTGCTCCTGTGACTGTTGTGTCTGCATCACTTGGGTCGCTTAAACGAAAGTCCTTCAAAGCTTTCACAGTTAATTTACTAACAGCATCACCTAATGACTTCTTAGACCCCTCAGAACCCTTTGAACCCGCTGAAGCAGGCCTTTCTTCCGCTGCTTTTGACTCTTCTTTGGCATCAATGTTCTCGTTATCCGCCATCTTTGCTTTCTTCTTCAAAACTCTACCACCGTTGTCATAGTAACAACAATACGCGAGCCTGCGATCTTTCTGTCAAAATAACATGACGTCATATTCTACCTCGTATTGAAGCCGAGGCTATTACGTCATGAGTGAGACTGCGATACAAACCGCTGAGTTAGTGACGTCATGCAGATGTTTTCCGAGTCTTCGTCAGTCAAAATGGAGGAATAAGATTGTACAACCTTAGAAAACACGCAATCTGAACGCTTAAAAATCCCTTAAAGGCAATACAATGGGTAGCCTTTTTAGCAGCAATGTTGAAGGTGTTGAAGAAGTGGATTCTTTATCGTCAGGATCGTATAGATATCCTCCAATAACAGGTAAAAGACACGGTATTTCTGTGCTGTTACTATTGTTAGTTATTCGTTCCTTGATTGCTTATGCATCATAATGTTTGTGTTTAGGGAGCTACTTCGCCGATCATTTCATCATGGGCGGCTCTAGATTTGATACTACACAACCAGAAGCTTATCTGTTCGGGGAGAACAGTGATCTGAATTTCTTAAGTCCAAAACCAGTTCCTGTAAGTTATCTTTACCAAAAATTTGACTACGTCTGTATAGATTCCTACGACAAGAAGATAAATAACTTCCTCTATTAACAATTTCTGCCTTAGTTTATTAACTATTTGAATCATTTTTTTCTCGTAATTCCACGAATTAACATTTAAATTTTCTTTACAAGTATAGCCATACATGAACAAGGCCTTATGTAACCTTAGGCTCACATAAGCTTAATTAGAGAATTGGTTTTTTACATTTTAAAATTAAGCCATTTGTTTTTAATTATTATAAATCCCAATTTTTCCGTCTTCGCCGACTAGACTAAAGATAAATAAACAATAATAATAAAATCATTTGAATTCCTTGATTAAATATCAGCTATAACGTTTATCTTTGGTTGTTGATTCAACGATTTTTTTTTCAGCCGATGTCAATTTTTAAGAGTTTGAAAATATTATTACATTCATTAACAAGGTTTTTGTGTTTTGTTGTTGTAAACATTTAGTTTCCATACCCATCTCCACATGGGAATGAACCTACCAAGACACTACGTAGTTTAGTGAACTTGAGAAAAGATTCGCTCAAGCTTGTCAGGTATATATGCATGACATACATATATATATTGTGTGTCTCCATCAGTGTTGAAGCTGTGCAGCTTGCAACTACCAAGTTTGCAGAATTTACTGTTTTTCCCCCAATTCTGTTTCTGTACTTGGGGATTCCCCTCAAAAGCAGAACCACATCTAAGGCCCCGTCCACACTATGCCGGATAAATTTGAATCTGAATTTTTATTTATTCGGTTCCATTTCGAAAATTCGTTTTCAGTGAAGAATTGTTCTGGATTCGCCTGGACTAGTGTGGACAATAGGCCTAACTGAATAAATAAAAATTCGGATTAAAATTTATCCGGCATAGTGTGGATGGGACCTGAGAAAATCCTGGATCTGTCCCCCACATTATTATTGTTATCTTCATCATTATTGTTATTTTAAAATCATGATTATCATAAAACTTTTTCTTATTTACTATAATAATTTATCAAGATGTGACAGCTCTGATGATGACGATGACACATATCACATTCAGTTTATTTTTGATGCTGATGTGAATTGTTCTGTCACGATATATTACCAAGCAACAGAGGATATAAGCACAGGAGTAGCTGTGTAAGTATTCTTCAATTGCACATTACATCAACGTGGCCATGTTGGTGCCATTGAACAAAAGATTATTAGCATCCATTGTTAATGGCACCACAATGGCCGCCATGTTTTTGTCTTTTGACTCTCTTGGGAATGCTTGCAACTCATCAATTGGATAACTTTAGTTGATGTTACACACATTTAAGCTAGTCTGTCTGTTATTATATTCAGTCTTTTTCTTTTCTTTTCACACAGTTACACATCAAAGGACCCAAACATGACATCACCAAAATGTTGTTACAAGAAAGGAGCTGGACAGCTGTTTAGTAATTCCTTGCGTCATCGATTCAAAGTGTCCCAATTTTCTGAAGAAGAGGTATATTTTTYCCCCCTTTACATCCATTTTTATCCAATTTCCTCTTCCATTTTAATTTTAATTAGCTACAAACACTTTGACTTGACTCCCAGTACTAAAAATAATGGCTGCTCTATACTGCAGTTGGTCATAATGACTGGCCATAATGGAAGAATAAGCACCTGTAAGACCAGTTAAGAGAACTGGCCTAAAAGGCATTTGACCAAACTACTGCTAAATTCTATTTGATTTACTTTACTTTCATTTTCTTACGTTTTTTATTTACAGTTGGCCTATGATCCACTATCAAGTACACATATACCTATTGTGATACAAATAGATGTGGCTGATGAGGGTAAGTGAACTGCCAATCAACAGTGAGTGACATGTCTGTCAGTAATAATGGCATGCAGTAATTAAAGGGCTCTCCTGCGAGGTTCAAGCCACACACACACACTATCAATACATTCTCTATTTACAACACACAACGCTAAACTCCTGCAAGGTTCACTCCACACGCACATGCTATCACTACATTCTCTATTTACAACACACAACACTAAACTCCTGCAAGGTTCACTCCACACACATGCTACCACTATGTTCTCTATTTACAACACACAACTCTATGTGAATTTTCATGGAGTGAGAAAAATCAAATGTATTACATAGCTAACTCAAGTCTATAAATTTGAAGTTAAAACCATATCTTAGTACCCTGTCTTATACTTTTCTATTTCTTTAAGAATTCCTTGGTCATTCCCACATTACCATGGCATCAATTGAACATACATCTGATGGTGTTTACATACTGAAGCCAATAAAACAAAAACAAATGGTAAGGTAATTAGTTACACCAAAACTGAACAACTATTGTAGTACATTTATTTCATGTCATTATATAGATATTAATACCAAGCCAATAAAACAAAAACAAATGGTAAGGTATTAAGTTACACCAAAACTGAACATCTACTGTAGATTATATTATACAGTATTAGTAATTACTGACTAGTTGATTATTGCATGTCATATAAATTAATACCATGGTGGGCCAAATTTGAAACCAGCCCTGTGGCTGTATAAAGGATTACACTGTGTAATGAAAAAGTATACTTAACTGATGTTGCAGACATTCATAAGTTATGTTTATTAGTACTTTTGGGAAGCACCGGTGGTGTGCGCTGCTAATGCGCCGCCTCTCACCAATGCGGCCTGAGTTCGAGTCCTGCCGATCTCAATGTCGTATGTGAGTAGAGTTGTTTGTTGGTTCTCTCCTGTGCTTCGAGGGTTTTTCTCGGGGTTCTCCAGTTTTCCTCCCTCCTCAAAAATCAACTCCTAAATTCTAATTCGATCTTTGGGCTTTCACCTAGTTTTATAGCCTAGCTCTGTTGTGATTGTCCCACGCTGTGATACAACAGCGAAAAGCTTTGTAGATTTTTTTTGTAGACTTCATCACAGTAAAGTTAACCCACATAAAACATGTAACTCGCTTCAACCAAGTATTTTGATAAGGAAACAATCCTAGCTTCTAGGCTGAGCATATTTTAAAATGTATTATGATGTCAAAAAAGCGATTGAAAAATCTTGAAAATAACATGGATGTACACACAAGAAAGGTGGTGATTCTGGAGGATGGAGCTTTGCGAGGATGATTGTAATGATGATAATGAGCAAGATTAAGTATATATAATAATGTATAAACCTACTACCCTTATTGATAATCTTGTTTTGAATGACTAGGTTGATGGCCTTTGTTTCTTACTACAAGAAATCTATGGTATAGAGAACAAGTCTAGCGATCAGCATGTCTCGAAGGTATGTTTTACGTAATATACACAGTATGAGTGGCTGTGTTGTATCTAATACACCTCGAGTTTGTATATCGAATACAACACGAACACAAATTCTGTAGATTGCTTGTCAAACGTCTAGGTTAGTTCCTTTGTGTTTCACTAATATTTTCAAAATTAAAGTGAATCTGGCCAAGAAAATCCAACTTAAAGTTTATGCAAATGAACACAATTTTGTATCAGATTTACAACACTCTTCATGGTTGTGATTTCTGTTGTGTTTTCCTCATGAATTATTAATGAGTTTGACAAAGTAGATTTAAATACTGTAGAAAAATCAGAGGTTAATAAACTCAAATATCAGCCATTTGTTAATGTATTTTTTTTGTTATCACTAGGATGATGATGATGATGATGAGTTAGACCTTGAGGAGACAGGCCTAGAATGTGTGATATGTTTAAATGAAATGCGTGATACTCTTATCCTACCCTGTCGACACTTGTGTCTCTGTAGAGGTTGTGGTAAGTTTCATTTCATTTTCACTTTTTCAATACTATTTTGACTTCAGCTTTTAACAATTGTACTGTATAGAGATTATCAAGAGCTGGATGTTATTTGTATTCATAAGTCTGCATTTACACACTATTGGACAAATTTTTGAGTGGTCAAAAAATTGGCCTGAAAATACCATTTACACTGAACTGTCTCTTTAATTGTATTACAAATATGTTGTGTTTACATGAAACTGGATATAAATTTGCACAGCTCAGTATACAAATTTTTGTTTGGATAGCTCAGTCCCATGTGAATGAAACCCCTAACAACTCTTTGACCTGTTAAACATTCATGTGGTAACATGTAAGCGCAGCCTGTTATAGTTATCCATGTCAGCAAACAAGCAAGTCCTTGAGTGTGCAAGGGATTCTGGTTATAGTAGTAAATTATGCTCATAATCTGTTTATTCCAAACGTAATTGAAATACTCAGAAATTAAAACATTTGCTTTAATTTTCAGCTGAATCTCTTCGTTACCAGTCAAGCAATTGCCCTATTTGCAGATCAGGTGAGTCTTAATTCTTTTTATGATTTTAAACCTTTTGTAAGTTCAAGCAACGTAAAATTTGAATTTTGGATCCTAACTTTTTTTGTTGTTGCTTTTTTTTTTTATTCATTTGCTAGCTTTTCATGCACTACTGCAGATATGTGCATACATCAAAAAGACTGGTCCAGATGGAGGGAAACGCCAGGTAAAGAAATAGTTATGATAAACCACAGTGTTTAAGCTGTTCAAGCAAATCGTTGGAAAATATGCATATCTCCGTTGGAAAATATGCATATCTCATTAAACTCTTGCTCACTCAGTTGTATTTTTCTAATATAGAGCTCTTGTGATGGGGAAGAGCACATACCAGGCTATGAACAGATACCTCTAGTAGAAGCCCTGAATGGTAGAATTGCACCAGATAACATACCAGAAGGTACGTAGTACTAAAAAATCTATCTATGGCGTCTCCAAATCCACAAATAACTGCCCAACTAAATAGGAAAAAAGGAAAATTTGGGATTTTGTAGTTAAACTTTTGTGGGGGTCGGCCCCCTCTCGCTATGCCTCTATGCAGCTATGCCTCTGGGCCCGATTGTCAAAAGGCTATCCACCCTTCGTACAACCGGGTCCTTGGAACTATAGGCAGTAGCAGATGTTGTGGACTTCTGGTATTAGATAATAAGCAAAATTATATCTTCTTGAATCTGAACAGAAGCCATAGCGCGCATGCGCAGAAGATCCTCCAGCGTTCGTTCGTCAGGGCGTAGAATTCCTTCCCGTGCTGGCAGTGCAAGAAGCCATCGTCGTGTAGAGCGTGCCACATCAGCAAGATCGTCTCTGAGACATGTACGTCCAGATACAGCATCATCAGAGCCGTACTCTGTACAGACACAAGAACTGGAACCCGTGCAGAGTGAGGAGCATGTGATTGCTGTAGCAGAATGTAAAGGGAAAGACCAGGACACAGTCCAGGAAATTGCTGAGGAGGGTAGGTCATAAGCCATGCTGGTAGTAGTACAACCAAGGGTTTACCGATATAAGATTCGTATTAAAGAGGAGTTGTTGTCGTATAATAAAGATTTTTCTAGGCTATACAAAGTTACCTATAATCGTATTACACAGGTTTTTTATAAGCTGTGGTCGTATGATAAAGGTTGT